GGTAATAATAAATATGATCTTCGTTTCATTAGCATACTCTCTAGGATGTTGTGTCATGAAAAGATTACACTAGCTGAGGAAACCCAAACACTGATCAGGTGAACCTTCAAAACTTTTCAGGTAGAGCCATTCACAGTGAAGAGTGAGTAGGTGGATTGTCTACCTGTTGAGTGTCTGATTGTCGTAGGTGCGCACAGAGGTAGGCGTACATTTCCTTATTTTCCTTCCGGAGCTGCAGCAGTTGTTGTTGCTACTTTAATACCTCCGCTTGGTATGCTACAGGTGACTGAAATGTTAGTATCTCTGCTGTATTGATGTTGGGCAAAGTATTCTGTAACATAGCAGACTCAGGGAGAGCAGAGGGATCCATATGCAGAGATTTATTAGAAACAAAAGGGAGGATCACAGAGTCGTAAGCCAGCCAATAAAGTCCAGGGTCAAAAACCAAGAAAACAGTCCAAACAGGCAATCAAATCCAAAACACAAATCCAAGAGAGTAAACGGTATAACAAGGCAGATAATCCAAAATCAAGGCAAGTCAACAATGGGAAAACGCTCAGAATTGCAGACCAGGCAAACAATACTTCGCAAATGAACAAAGGGAATCAGGCTCCTTAAATAGGAAGGAGAAACAATGTAACAGGAACAGAGGATAGAGTTCACTATACGGGAGAGGGCAGCCTCTGGCGGTTAGGAGGGGGACCAGGTTACATCAACATGCAAAAATATGCAAGAAAAATAAAACAAAACCGGAAATGATATCAGAGAAGACCCCTGAGAGGACCCTTATGACATTTAAAATATTTAAAAATCTTTTTTATGACATAAAAAAAAAAAACCTTTTAATGACAAGGAAAGAAAGGAAACCAATGATATTTATGAATTAAGAATTCATGATATTTGTAAAAAATATTTGTCATTCAAAGTCTTTCAATTTAAACTTTTGGTGAAAATTTCATAAATGTTTTTCAAACATGAATCAAACATGAATGCAAAGAGTACATTTCTGTATGGAGCTTATAATATGACAAAATGATTTGAATTTGAATTGTGTAAGTTTGAATTATTGACAAGTGTAATCTAACACTTTTAATTTTAAATAGTTCTGAATTTGATTTCTTTAAACGAATATTGAACATTTGAAATTTAATGAATTGAAATGTTTTTATGCCTGAATTTTATAGACATGTATTTTCAAACAGCTATTTTTTTTTGGACCTGCAAATATCCAGTTTTAAAAAATACAGATTCAAGTTTTCAAGATGAAGAAGAAATTCGGAACTTCAAATTCAGTTTTCTAAAATTCAAAACTCAGGAAAAATCAGATCGTACAGACACTAGGTCACAGATCATCCTCAGGGAAGAGTAGAGGATCTCAGAAAAGTCAAACGGAGCATTTTGGCTGCATTGCAGTAGTTTTCTGCCGCAAACGTGGTGGTGGTTCAAGAGAATTCATGTATCATTCGTTCAGTCGTTTTTTGATTTAATATTAAAGGGTTAGTTCACCCAAAAATGAAAATTATGTCATTAATGACTCACCCTCATGTCGTCCCAAGCCCGTAAGACCTCCGTTCATCTTCAGAACACAGTTTAAGATATTTTAGATTTAGTCCGAGAGCTTTCTGTCCCTCCATTGAAAATGTATGTACGGTATACTGTCCTTGTCCAGAAAGGTTAGAAAAACATCATCAAAGTAGTCCATGTGACACCAGTGGGTTAGTTAGAATGTTTTGAAGCATTGAAAATACATTTTGGTCCAAAAATGAAAAAACTACGACTTTATTCAGCATTGTATTCTCTTCCGGTTCTGTTGTCAATCCGCGTTCAGTGATGCTGATGACGTAAGACGCTGCTGACGTGTTAACAGTGCGCCCGAGCTTTGTTTACAGTCTGAGGGAGACGCACGCTGTAAACAAAACAATCTTCGCAAACATGTCTAAGGATTTCGACACAGAAGAAGACTTGCATTTTTTGCCCAGCCATATTTATTTGAACCCGAATACACGGGCGCACTGTTAACACGTCAGCAACGTCTTACGTCATCAGCGTCACTGAACGCGGATTGACAACAGAACCGGAAGAGAATACAATGCTGAATAAAGTCGTAGTTTTTGTTATTTTTTTACCAAAATGTATTTTCAATGCTTCAAAACATTCTAACTAACCCACTGATGTCACATGGACTACTTTGATGATGTCTTTATTTCCTTTCTGGACAAGGACAGTATACCGTACATACATTTTCAATGGAGGGACAGAAAGCTCTCGGACTAAGTCTAAATATCTTAAACTGTGTTCCGAAGATGAACGGAGGTCTTACGGGCTTGGGACAACATGCGGGTGAGTCATTAATGACATAATTTTCATTTTTGGGTGAACTAAGCCTGCAAGAGTAGAAAAATGAGAAACAGCTTGAATATTAGATTTCTAATATTCTAATAATAGTCCTCCGCTGCTGCAGTTGCACAGAGCTTACAAAACTTAGCGCGTTTATTGCAACTACGTAGTATAAATGTATAGGCTACATTTCATCTTTTTCTCATCAAACAACAAAGACTAACCAATGGCTCGACACAACCCGTACCGGGGAAGAGCCTAGACAGGGCTTTCTTCTGTGTAGATATAAATTCACCTACGCTTTGCATCAGCTAGGTATGGCAGGGTAGGCTAAATGACGGCTGTCATAGCCTACCATTTTTTTTAATATAAATCAATATAAGTAGTAGTAAATGAAATATTTTAAACACTAATACAAAAAGGAAAGAATAATGCATTGATTTGGGTATATAATAGGCCTAATGTTTACGCATGAACTGTCATTCACACTGACTATCAGAGATATTAAAATACATAATCTTCTGAGTTTTATGATGTAGGCCCTGTGTTTTATTTTTATTAAAATTTATTATATTTATATCTCAAAATGATGCGTTTTGTGCATTCTCTGACATTACCTGAGTGTAAGTCACACCGGGTCATGAGGAGAGAGAAATGTGTGTCATGTGCATCACATCATCGTAAAAAATGCCTTTTATTATTAGCCTATTCAGCAATAGTGTAAAAGACCGGTAAATAAAATACAACATTAACATTATAAACACTATACACATAGCCTATGTGTATTTTACTTTCCCTTACTGTATGACAAATCCTTAAATGAATGCAGAAAACAACAAGAATGAAAAATAAGTAGCCATGTATAATAAAAAATATATATATACATAGTAGCCTATAAAAATAGCCTATTGTGCCCTTTATTACAAACAACATTTAGCCTATTTTAAATGCCAAGCCTAAACGAATTTATTTGAATCGAGACTGAAACTGTACCGATGTTGAGTTCGCGCATCTCTCATTCGGTCCAAAGTTTCCATATTTGCAAAGTAACAATTGAATGCTAACTATTAATATAAAGAAGTACTTCAGCATCTTCACAGCAAGGGACATGTTTGGAATAACAGCAAGTAGGTGATGACTGACCGGCACAGCCTTTATATTGTACAACAGACTAATTAAATTAAGCAGAATAACTTTTTATATGTTTGGTTGACTGTTTTATTTTGATAATGAACAGGCTGCGATGAGAAGTTAGCAATGCCAAAACTGATAATATGTTGTGTGAGCGCGCCATGCCCCGGCGCCATCACTTGGATTTGTTCCTCAGCAGGGGAAATAACTTAATACTCTGTCATTTATAGTCATACAGATAATATGACATCATTTGAAAAGTAAAATGTATATTTTTATTTGTGTATGGTCAAAATGACTACAAAATGCCATGTCTTTGAGAAATAAAGAGAACAACATGATGCACTGCTTTAGCGCGTCTCTGTCTCCTTGAATATCTTTCTGGCGCACACCAAAAATGAACCAAAATACAGCGAATAGCCTTCTTGGCGCGCCTACTTTTGAAAGTCAACATTTAGATTATTTGACGTTAAATGCAAGGCCTAAGTCACTTTGTTATTTTGTTAAATCACAGTGCGTTTCATGATAAAAAACGTGACTTTACAGTCCGGAAAATAGGCTACGGTAGGTTATAGCAAATTATTTCACGGACTCCCTGGCACTTAAGAACTGCTGGTCTACACAGAAGAAAGCCCTGTCTTTTAGTCTAGTTGTTTGATGAGAAAATGAATTGTAGACTTGTTGCAATAAACTCATTTAGTTTTGTAAGCTCCGTGGAACTGCAGCAGCGGGGGACTATTATTAGAATATTAGAAATCTACTATTCAAGCTGTTTTCTCATTTTTCTACTCTTAATCTTAAATAAAAAAACGACTGAACGAATGATACACGAATTCTCTTGAACCACCACCACGTTTGCGGCAGAAAACTACTGCAATGCAGCCAAAATGCTCCGTTTGACTTTTCTGAGATCCTCTACTCTTCCCTGAGGATGACCTGTGACCTAGTGTCTGTGCGAACTGAATTTTTCTGAATTTGAAGTTCCGAATTTCTTCTTCATCTTGAAAACTTGAATATGTATTTTTTAAAACTGGATATTTGCAGTTACAAAAAAATAGCTGTTTGAAAATACATGTCTATAAAATTCAGGCATAAAAACATTTCAATTCGTTAAATTTCAAATGTTTAATATTCGTTTAAAGTAATCAAATTCAGAGCTATTTAAAATTAAAAGTGTTAGATTACACTTGTCAATAATTCAAATTTACACAATTCAAATTCAAATCATTTTGTCATATTATAAGCTCCATATTTCTGAACCCAAATATAGGGGCAGTCACGCTAGCAAACCTGCAGCTTTAAAATGTGTGTTCTTTTAATTCAGCTAAGTGGTCACATGTCATGACATATCAATATTCTATTCGTCACACATCTGATACAAATTCGCAGCTTCACCACACTTGAACTTTGGAACTCAGTAAAATGCAAAACTTGCAAGCTTGCGTTTCCATCATTCGCATGCGTATGTATGGAAGTGAATAGAATGAAAAGTGTAGTGTGACAGCCCCTTCAGAGAGAGAACTGTCTGGTACCTGTGAGAGCTTGGTGTTTGACCCCGGCAGAAGAGTACGGCTAAACTTCTTTTGGGAGCCAATGGCTGCTGGGAAGGGAGGGGCAGAGAACATGGCGGCCACTATGTTGATGCGGGTGATCCAGGACTGCATTTGCTCTGCGTTGCTAGGGGTGAAAGGCAGGCGCAGGTCAAACAGAGGGCAGAAAAATGACAGAATTCAGAAGGTGAAACAATATATGCTCAAAGAAACTGCACACAGCCTGGGAAATTAGCAGGCGGCTGTTAGCAGAAGAGAACGAGTGGAACAGATGGAGCAGAATGAGAGAGAGAGAGAGAGTTTTAGTATGTGTATCTGGGACAGACAGAATAGCTGAGAAGGATCTATCCTCTTGGGAGATACACATCGAGTCATTCATCTGTGATGAGAACACTTTGACAAGGGCGTTACCAGCCCTGCATGTAATCAACAACCAGCCAGTGTATTTGGGTGAGCTCAGGTGTTTGTGTAAGTGTTTGAAAGAGATTCACTGTGTATTTCTCTGCTGTCCTATTTCCAAAAGATAAAGCAACACGAGCTTTCCATGAGGCTTCTGCTGAATAATATTTGTTGTCACTCAAAGTGACAGTGTAAGTTATCATCATCATATGATCATTTAAAAATGGATTTGTTTTCCTTTAATTTATGCATTACCGTACAAAAGTTTAGGGTCAGTACTATTTTTTTGTATCGTTTTGTGTCCAGTACTTCTCTCTTTTATATACCCAGGCTGCATTTATTTGATCAAAGATACAATAAAAACATTATTAAGGCGAAATATTATTACAATTTAAAAGAACCTTTTTGCTATTTTAATATTATCCTTAAAAAAGAACATTTTCTTATTATTATTAATGTTTATTAATTAAAACAGTTTTTGCTGATTAATATTTTTTGTGGAAACCATGATACAGTATCACATTTAAAAGTTTTGAGTGTGTAAGATTTTTATTTTATTTTTTAATGTAAATTATTTCATTATTAAAATAAAAAAATTTAATCATTTAAATGTATACTTTTATTCAGCCAGGATGCATTTAATTGATCAAAAGTGAAAGTAAAGACATTTATAATGCTACAAAAGATTTCTATTTCAAATAAATGCTATTGTTTTGAACTGTTTACTAATGGAATCCCGAAATAATGTATATGTGTATACACATGTATACATACCATATATAAAATAATAGCACCTATAATAATTGATAATTGAGCACCAACTCAGCATATTAGATTTCTAAAGGATCATGTGACACTGAATACTGAAAGAATGATGCTGAAAATTTAGCTTTGCCATCACAGGAATAAATTACATTTTACAATTTATTCAAATAGAATTAAAAAAAATTAATAGTATTTCACAATATTACTGTTCTTACTGTATTTCTGATAAACTAGATGCAGCCTTATGTTTAAACTTTTTTTAAACATAAGAAAATCTTACCGATCCCAAACTTTTGAACGGCTGTGTGTGTGTATAATTATTATTTTCGTCACACTACAATAAAGACTTTTTTGCCCCTCTTAATGGTATTAAAAGCTTAAAAATATAACATCTTGTTTCAAATTTTGAGGTGAATCACCCTTATAATAGAAATAAGGTAAGTTTACTTACGGGGCCTGGAAGAGAAAGACTCTCCAGTCAGCAGTGCGAAGGTAAAACACATTGGGTCGTTTGCTATAGTCTGCTGCCCGCATGGCTAAAGAATGATGAATTGATACTGCGTTCTTCAAGTCCTCATCAGACAGCTGCTTATCTGGACGATATTCATCCTGCAGACCAATCGCAAAGTAGAGGCAAATCACAAATCCTTGTTTTTACAAATAATACCTGTACGGCAACCACAAAGAACTATGGTTCACATAGCACAAGAAATCATTGAGTAAAATGTACCTTTTGCAGGTAGAGAATCAGTCCTTTAAGGATGACATAAAATGTTTTCCATCCTCTTTTACCTCGTGGAGCTAAAAGAACAATACACAGTCAAAATTAACATAATTAAAGTTTTAAGAATAAGTATTTTAAACAAGATAAATTAACTTACTTACAGTTACTTAATTAGCAAAAGTTAATAAGACTTGTTTTTAGAGATCATTTTTAAATTAAGTTTATTTTTTCTTACCCCACTGGCAAATCTACGAATGTTAGATTTATGATTGAAACCATGAAAGAAAAAAATGTAATAGGGTAAAAGAACTTCAAGATATACTCTTGAAAACAAGTCGTAATATTTTTTTCTATACTTCATAGCTTCTTAGTTAAATGCATGTTGTTCTGAGATATTTCGATATTTTTATTTCGATATTTGATTTTTTTTACTGGAAAATAACAAAAAAATATTCTCTCATTTTCTAAACTACAATCATTTAGAATAAGGTTGTAATAAATACACTAAAACATTAATAGATTAAATAAAAGGCTGTATTTGAGGGAAGGCTTACTTTTTTTGCCATCAGCATCAGCATGAACTTTCCGCACGAGAAAGCCACTGTTGTAGACTTGAGCGCTGGACTGCTGTGCAACACTGACGAGGGGGTTTCCTCCACTGTTGATCCGCTTCATAGTGTGCGATGCTGAGTCTGTCCTGCCGTCCAGCTCAGAGAAAGATTTGCGCAGTTCTTCCTCATCGCTGTAGAGTACGCAAACAAGAGCATTATTACGAAAAGTAGTTGCATTCTCACCCTTATCCACAAGGTATTTTATGGACTGAAAAATTCTCTGACTTTCAACATTTACCTGAGGTAAAAGCCCCATCCTACCTCAATTTTTGTGTATTGTGCATTCAAAGACACTAACAGGAATTAAACTGCATCTTCATTGCCTAGTGCTTGGCACAGTTTTTTTAAATCTGCAGTACATGCAACCAGCTGAGTGGCAGCTGTGCAGAGAGTGCAGTTAGACACCCTAAAGCCCCTGAGGCCTGGACCGCTAAACATTCCTCTCTAACTGCTACGGTGTACAGCACAGAGCCTTTGCCTTCACATGATAATGCTCTCATCTGTTGCTTAGTAACTGCTGGCCTCAACACTGGTAACCAAGAGAGCCAGCACAGAAGATGGAACACCATGAGAGACGGAGGCAGAAAGAGCAGCCAAAAAAAAAATGGTGAATGACGTGCATTGATTCATACAGTGAATGATGGCCTTTAGCTGAGAAACACACGATGCTAAATGAAAGTGCAATGAAGTGGATCAAACTAAGAAATGAAGTGAGAGTGAAACAGGGAAACATAGAGAGCGGAGGGATAACGCATGGGGACGTTGGGATGGATGAAGATCAAAAGAACTGCTGCTGAATGTAAGAGAATAAAACAATCACTTGTGCTTTTCTCCTTCACACATAAACAAGGGTACTGCAGAATCCCTTCAGGAGCGAACGCAGTGTACATGGGAGTGAGTATGTGTGAGAGAAAAAGAGAGAGGGCTGTGTTTGAGTCTGCACATTAGCCAGTCAAAGTCAACCTGTAATTATGAAGAGGCAACATGTAGTAACCATGGCAACAAAATAAAGAAAGTCGAAAGTAAGGGCTTAGGGCATCAAATAGCTCTGGCCAGGTCATAAATACACATATATATGGAAAAAATGGTTCTATTATAGAAAAAAAGGATTCCATATAGAACCTTTTTACAAGGGGCTCAATGAAAAGAACGTTGTTGGATTCCTTTATAGCGTGGTGAAAAGGTTCTAAATAAAAAGGGAACCTTTTAAGAGTTCCAAAGATCTTATCATTGTTAAGACTTGTTTCTGCTAGTGACGTGTTTCCACAGTTATTAAATCTAGCAAAGTTTTTTATATTTTCAATTATTAAAAAATATAATGTACAACATTTATAACACTGTACTTTGTACACTGTTCTCTCTTCTGGGTGTCGTAATCAATCTCTATTGTTTTTCTCTCTCTTTCGGAAAGTCATGAAAATGCAAAAATGTATTTAGCTGTAGTCTCCCATTCACTGCAATTTAGGAATTTACCCAACTATCATGACTTAAGCTTCTGAGAATCCCGGAAATATAAAAAGTGTCCATTGCCACATCATTTATTACTATAAGAAACTAAAATAAATACCAAGTGGTATTTATGGAATACCACTGGAAAAAAGAATGGTATGGAAAAAATAAAGTATTTATTAGAGCCTAAATAATAATTTCCTTTTTATCTTTAATGTTGAAACGTTCTTCTTTTTTTCTACAGAACCTTTTTGAGTAAAGAGTTCATTGGAGTCGAGTAAAGAACCCTAATGAAACTATTTTTCTAAGAGTGCACCTAATAAGCACATCTCACTGAAGAAATGAAAAGGCCCTTTGAGCAGCTAAAAGATTGTATAATGGGCTTACACCATTTTAAAATCAATAACACTTTTAGAGGCATTACATTCATTTCAAATGTTTTGGATGATACTGGACAAGGATAAGTTGCTCTTGAATCTGATGCACTGAAAAAGAGCCACTAGGTAAAACATTAGACTTACATTGTCCACTGCAGCTTTTCATTTTTGATAGAGTTGTAGAGAGCCTGTTAAAAGAGAAAAACAACAATTAAATCACACAACCCCATCAACAGTTTTGCTCTGTGCGTGCATATGAGAGCGTGCGCTCAAACATCCCACTGACGTGTCTAAAAATAGCAACTGAAAGTTAACAATACCCATGAACCAGAAACAGGTTGCAGACTATACTTTTTTTTTTCATGTAGCATTTTGGTTCAAACGTCATGGAAAAACAACTCAACCATCATTAGAAGGAAGAAGGAAAAATTAGCTTATAATTTCTCTGATTGCAAAAGATCTAAGTTTCCATGGGCAGATCCTGTAGTTAACTAGTGTTACCCTTTCCTTTTTTTTGCGGGTTTGTGGGTGGTTTTGGCCGTCCTGAACCTTGCCGAGCAGATCAGGGAAGGCCAGGGGCTTTAAGGAACGTGAGCGAGGGGCTTTGGTGTAACGAAACGGGTCCATCACGCTGAAGTCCCGTCCACATCGCACTGAACACAGGGAGCGAGAGCGGACACGGCCAGTGGAGTGAATACTGTTTACACCAATCATGATTTTGGTAGATATGGGATCCAGAGATGAGGAAACAGTACAAAGAAGGCTTTAAAATCAAACAATGTTCAAGTAAACTAAATGAAGTCCTCATTCACTTGATGTCTTTCTTCTACCAGTAGAATCCAGACCTGCGGGAGTGATCAGGAGAAACGAGTTCAAAGAGCATGTAGAATGATACAGTGGCAAAATCAAAGTCTTTGGCAGTGGCGAAGCTCTTTGCGAGATCCTTAAGGGTGTCACATGGGCATCAGGGATTCTGTAGTGACTCTTGCATTATGGATCCATTCCTATTCATTATGCATGTAAAAACATTGCTGGGCCACTGCAAATCCACCAGCGCCATTTTGCATAAAACTTTCTGCTTTGACTGAAAGATCGAAGACGATCAAGGAAGAGGATCTGCGGTTAACATCCAGTTGTTTCCTTGTATACATCCTCGAGTTCATCACATCTACACGTGTTCACCAACGCACGCTGACACGCACACAGGTGCGGTGCAGATGGCTCGCGAGGACCGCGATGGTGGAAGGAGGTAATTGGAGAGAAGAGGACAGACGGAGGAATGCGAACATCATTGAAGCAAATGCATGAGATAAACACGCATGGGCTCATGCAGGGAACAGACTGAGAGGGTCTGACTTCCACCCACTCTCAAACTGGCATCCCAAAAACTGTGACGTCACCTAGCATCCCCCTCTGGGACGGAAAAATAGACAAGACGTGTAAGAGACAGAAGGACGAGACTAGAGCAGGAAATCAGCAAAGAAACAAGATGATCCTGTTGCTTTGTGCAGTTTTCTCTATTCCATGTCAAATGGTTGAATGTATTAGAAGTTGTCCACAATTCTCTTTCATCCTTTCTTTTTTTTCCCCCTTCCTCTTTGAGCTTTTGTCCATACGCCTGTTATCCAATTGGAAGATTCTTTCACACCTGATTGTTTTTCCCTTTCACAAAACACAGCTTTGCTGCACGGCTGTAGGAACAATAGAGGTTTGGCGTCCGAGTCCTGCGCTCTCTTTTCTTCTTCTCCTCAGTCTTTTTCCTCCTCTGTGATGCAGATAAAAAATGGGCTGTGCGGTGAGAATGAGATCTTGTGAGCGAGGAGTGCTCACCCTCCCTTCTCTCTCTTGCATTCACAATCTCGCCCGATCTCTTTCACTGTCTCTCTCGCGCTCTGCTTCTCAATTGATGTACCCGTCTCCCAGCATGACTGACAAATCACGGCACATGAATGTTCGATGATTCCAGCCTCCCAAGAATGTCAATCAGTTTCCAGGCTCTCGAACGTGCGAATCCTCACACGCGCTACATGTCACTGCCATAGTCACTCATTTTCCACACACATATTGTCAAAAAGGTCTGTTGTAACTTGATAATAAGCAATTAACCTGTTGCTCACATTTATTATCAAGTGAATTATGATAAGCACTGAATGTATGCCACTGAAAATCATCATAACCCATTGAGTTATTTTAAATGTTGACTTTATTGTATTGGCTAGAATACAATTAATAAATAACATGAAGAATTATCAATGTATTAATTAAAAATGTAAATAAATAACTTTTCAAATTGATAAATAGACACTTAAAATCGTTTATTTAAATTATGAAAATATACAAATGAGTTAAATTTGACAATAAATAATTAATCGATACATCATTTTGACATGCAACATTGCATAAAGCTTGTACAAATTGCTGTTCTTTGTCCATTTGGCAAATGAGTTACAAAATTTAATTGGGCAGTTCACACATGGGAGCAGCCAATAAAAAATAAGAATTACACAATAACAAGCCACTGGGGATCACGTTGAAGCAGAGGAAAGATAGTAAATCAGTTTGGTTGGTATGGTTTCTTCTGTCATTTGGATCATTGTTGCAGCTTGTTCTCTCTCCATGTGTCTTTCACACACAGCTCTGGGACACTGGGCATCCCATAGTCTGAGTCTAACTTTATTCAAACGTGACCTGCTTTAATTTGGCCACGGTCACAAGGCAGCCAGCAGTTAAAACAGTGAGCTGGGTGCAGGGAGGTTTTATCTGCTCATGTCAGAGCACAAGAAGGACTCCATATGTCCATTAAAGCAGACAGAGATCCCAGTAGTTGAGACTGTACAAGCACCTGGGGTATCCCACAGTAAAGCCTGAATTAAAAGAGAATGAATACAGCTTTGACAAGCCAAACACATCTTGCAGATGGAATACATCCATGTTTGTTGTGCAATGGCTGCTGCAACATAGATGATGCCTGAAGGACTGTAATGAAGAAGCTGAAGCTTGGTTTCATTTTCTATGATATAGTTCCAGTCTAAGATGGAAACTGGTCAATACAATGTTTCATTAGTGATAAAATACACGATACATTACTAGTTATTATGTATATTAACTAACAACAAACATTGGTTCTCTAATAATTGCGCGGATTATTCGTATTTATACGCACAGGAGAACTTCTCACGAAAAAAATCCGCCTAATTCATAACAAGTGCTTACGCACATGGATTTGTTCTTAACATTGTTCATCCTTGAATGAATTTGGAGTAATCCAAGTGAGCGACCACATGCCCGATGTTGGAAATTTACATAAAACATGCCCAAAACATGTCCATATAAGGGTTTTCTGCACACCCTTTCCATTCATCGCCTTTCCAACCTTCTGTTAAAGTGTTTTAGAAAAAGTTAAAGATCAAACTTTAGAACAGCATCTCGCACAGCTCGCTGCGGTAAGTACAAGTGTAGTGACCACTGGGAGGAGCATAATACTGTTTGCAGTGATGCACATACTCAATCTCAAACTGGGAAATTATACTGTTCACACAATTGAGTGAAAGAACAGAAACATAATTTTTCAAACTGAAAAAGAGGGAACAAAAGACAGAAAGAGGAACAGCAGAGAGAGAAAATGAGCAATTTGTAACGCATTTATGATAATACCATGACAAAACCTTCATTTCAGTGAGAAGCCGTGTGGCAGCCAAATTCCCATCTGTCCCCCATGCCACCCCTGCTGTTCCTGGCATAAAGACAGACTTCACACAGGTTTTTCACGGCCGTTAACTGTCATGAACCACACAGGCACTGAGAGCCTAACCTGTTGGCTTGCAGACATCTCTCTCAGCTGCCATCTCTATCAGTGCTATATTTAACCCTAAAACCTGTTGTAACATCAAGCCGACAAAGATGAAAATGAGTGTCAGGAGAACAGAATTATGAGAAGGAATATCCAAGTAGCTAAATATTTCACACCAATAGCCTAGTTAGACAGATTAACTGTCTTTACCCGACAACTGCGTGGCCTTCACACCCTCACATAGTGGTAGGAGGAAAGAAACCAGGAGAAGGAAGACCAGAGCTAAGAAGAAGAGAGAAGGAGGCCATTTGTCAGCCAAGGGCTGAGATAAGGGGGATTATATAGATATGGAAATAACCTCAACAGACAGGACTAAGTACAGTTCAGCAGAGTAAGTTTTTTTGCAGATTATAGGGTGAAACAAAGAGCAAGATGGCAGATAGTAAAATGGCTAGAGTGAGAGAGAGAAAGAGAGAGCACAGAAAAAACAGTGAGGGGGTGGGAGGTGATGAAATAGTGCGAGGCACAGAGTGAGAGGGCGGAGGAGAGAACGAGGGATGAGCGACACACAGAGAGAGAGAGAGAGTAGGAGGACCAAACGCTTGAAAGGCTCCCCGTGATTTTAAAGCACATATCAGCAGAGTGGTTCAGGTGCGGTCATCATGTGGCTATTATTCTTGTGCAGCCTGGCCTGTAATCCAAGCGAAGGGACTAAAATAGACAAACCCTAAGCACCAGCACACTGGAGCACAGGAAGTTCATTGACATCAGCTGCGACAGAAATCCCCTAAATGACTGATTTTAGTCACAACACTCAACTTCAGACATGGTGAAAATCAATAAATCAAATTCAGGCACAACGGGCCTCAGTGCAACATGTTAACAGTTTAAAAGTTAATCTTGTAGCTATGCTATGGTCTGTAATAATGGTTCTGTCACAAATTAAGTATACAGACGAGTTGTACATTTCTCCAAAAATGTCTACAACAAAAAGTGCTCTTCATATAAATGGATTTACATTTACATAAACAAGAATATTCCGATATAAATCAGATTATCATGATTATTGACTGACAACATTGCAGTTTTAAGAAATTTGAAATGACGTTTAGCATATGCCTGTAATATTTAGAATATATAGTCAAAAGAGCATATCAAAGTGCAGTATCAACAGAATAGGATTCTGTTATTATTTACAGAGACTATCCGGCGGATTTACAGACAAGGCTTAAGCTAGTCCCGGACTAAAATGCAAGTTTGAGAGGTTTTAACTGAAAGCAACTTGCACTGGCGTATCTTAAAATATGTCACTTCCAGTGTTATGCCTCAATATGCACACCAGTAAGGTTTTAAGTAAAGCACGTTTATAAAAGCTATAGATGTCCTAATTAAACTAAGGCCTAATCCTGGCTTAATCTAAACCCTGTCTGTGAAACCAGACCTCTGTGTTCTAGTGGAAGTCTTAATGGAAATGTATGTATACTACAGTATATATACATCGGCTACATTGGATATTCCAAATAATTCCATTAATTTATATTGGCTTAATTTTAAGGACATAGATTTTTTTCTTTTTTAATCAAAAGTGACAGCTTTAAGCAAAAGTGACTTTTACATTGTTATAAAAAAACTTTCTATTCATCACAGATTTCAGTTTCATTCAGTTTTCAGCTTTAATGATAATAAATGTTTCTTGAGCACTATGTGAGCATTAGAATGATTTCTAAAGAATCATTTGACACTGAAAACTTGAGTAATGGCTGAAAATTTACAGTATTTCCAGAAGAGAGTAGCAGCACAAAAATGTGCATGCCTCAGAATATGTTAATTACATACAGGAATATTTAATTAGCTGTGGTGCATGTAAATATATATTTTATGGCTTAACCACAATACGGACCTTATGGAATAATTCAATATGCAATATGCAGTGTGTGAATGTGTGTGAATGCTTGAAACCCCTACAAACCTTTAGAAGATCTTTCGGGAAGTCTAGGCCGTCATTCAGTCCCTCCAAGTTACTAATGAACTGTGTGCAGGACATCCTCTTCCCGATGTTCTGAATTAGAGAGAGACGAATGGAATATAAATTTACTGTCAGCTGATGCGCTGACCTATTTCACAGTTCCTATGCACTCAACAACACTTACAATACCAAATACACAGCGCCCAGTAATCATGTTAATATTTTGTGCAAAAATAATTTTGCTTTCCCTGAGAATCATTTTTACTACTACATTTATGGATGAATTTCTATTCAGCTCAGAGAATAAAATCCATCCTAAAAACACAGTTGTTTTATCCAAACCAGCTCCTTTCACAGAGACTTCAATCATGTACATGTAAAAATAATAATAGTAATTTCACAATAAACATCTATTACAACTTCAGACTTACAAGTGTCAGATAATATTTTTCATTTTCCACAAAGTAGACAAACATTTCAGAAATGTGACTGGGATTAATACATTTTTGTACACAGCAGTAAAATCCAATTAAAAAAATCAACAATGTATTGATGTTTTGTAGCTTACTGTATATTACACAAATAATCATTTAATATAATAAGAAGTAAAATTTTATTGGAGTCAATTTTAGAGAAATTCAATCAGTTTCGATTCAGAAAATGCCAGTATCAATGTATATTTTTCAAGATTTTAAAATGGCCTTGATGGCTGAACATGGTTCACGATTTTTTCTGTTGATTTTTCTTATTGTTTGTTATGTTAATAGTACATCAGATACTCAAACTTACATGACCATGCAGATCAGTGTTGAGCAGCATCAGGGCACAAGTCAATGTGTGAACACTATCTGAAACACACAGGCATAGAAGTGCCATAAGCTCACACAGTCAGAGCAAGAGCACCCCACGGTGTTATTTTTATTGTAATACACACCAGATGCACTTTCATTGTAGTACCCCAGAGTGCAGTCTGGACGATGGGGCGGGGCGACACTTTTAGGCGGGGCGACACGTGTCGCTCCGCCCACCCCCATTTTAATTGGTTTATAATACCGCAATCTTATTGGTGTAAACGATTCAGGTCTGAGCATGCGCATTCCTTTATGTACGATTTTGTGAATGATTTGGCCGCATCAAAGAAATATTAAATGCTAACTTTAATCGTATCTTATTATCAGTTTACCATGGTAATTTTTGTTAATATCTATTGGCTAATACTTTATTATACTTAGTTAAGACACAGTATAGATTAAGTTATTGTTTAAAAACGAACGCTTGGTGACGTTACTTGTACTTCAGGGAGATGTTTTACATTAGATTAGTGCGTCATTCACTTGGCTTCTTCATATTTCTATCAGGATCGGTGGATCAGCACAAACTCGGGATTTTACGCAAATGATGATAATTGACTGTAAGAATGTAAGCAGCTGATTTTAAATTCTAAAGCATGACCGTTTTTTGTTGTCATTTTTTAACGAGATTGTCCAATGCTTGCATTATTTGATACAAAGTGCAAATAAAATGTTTAATGGCAAACACGTTTCCTGGTTGATTACCTTCATACAATATGAGGGCCTATTGTTTCTGTAAAGCCCTATGTTATATTTTTTAAAGATTCATGTTTTCTAATAAGTGTCAACCGGTTATGTAGGCTACGACTGTCTATCTGTGACTGTGACATCAGGTAGGCCTATATTAAAAATCCAATTGTTTATTCATCCACCATCGCATTGCGTGTTCATGTTCATAGGCTACTGGATAAAAATGGTTACAAATATTAACACTCACATATAGGCTGCATAACCATAAAAAAAAAAACACTGCTATAAATCTGTGCAATTATAATAGGTTGTAATAAAATAAATAAAACACCCAGCAGAGAAGTGATATGAACATGTAGGCCAATTGCTTAAATACGCTCTTGAGCACATAGCCTACATTATAATATTTGCTATAGATCAACATAACATCTGTTTTAGAAAGAAAAAAAACACACAAAAAAAAACATTTTTTTTATTATTTTTTTTTCACATTGCAGCACTGCACGGATTTTATTCCCATTGTACGCACATAACCCAATGGCCAGGGCTTGCTATTTGGTAGCCTGTCTTATTTGTCACCGTGGTTTTGCTTTAAAATAAAATAAAACACACTTTCGGATTTATCCTTTGTTTTACTGAAATACAGGGAATCATAATTTGTGTAAAATCCCGAGTTTGTGTTTATTCACTGATCCTAATGGAAAAACGAAGAAGCATAAACGAATGATGTAAAATTAAGGAGCTCTGCATGACATGCGGAAAAATATTGTCTTAATCAGCCCACATAGAAATGATCTCTCCTTTGATCTGCCAGTAATTTCATGTAGTCATGCTCATTGCCCACCAAAAGTGGCACTGACTTATCTGCAGGGTAAATTAATATAGTATAGCTAGGCTAAATCTCAAACAGTGTATTATTTATCAGCAACATATTTTGTGATATCGCCAAGCCATAAAACTGCTCAATATTAAAGCTTACAATATGACTTTTTGTAAAGCTGCTTTGAAACGATGTAACTTCATCTAACTTGATTCGTAAGTTCATCAAAACATTATCCAATTGATCGTTACTGAAATCGCAATGGTTATCACTTAATATAGTACGCCCAAACACCGTCATAGATAATTCATAAACTCGTACATTAAGGAATGCGCATGCTCGTGCCTCAAGCGTCTATGCCAATAAGATTGCTGTATTATAAACCAATAAAATCGGGTGTGGGCGGAGCGACACGTGTCGCCCCACCTAAAAGTGTCGCCCCGCCCCATCGTCCAGACTGCACTCTGGGGCTACTCCTTTCATTCACACAATGCTTGTATGGCTTACCTTCATTTGGTATAGTGTTCGGGTTGCACTGGAGGTATCTTTTAGAGAAATGCGATAGTACTCTCTCCCTCTCTTGTGTCTCTCCCACTAAGGCGAACTCTCTCAAAAACACTCTAATAAAAAGACAGCAGGAAAAACAGAATGAGCCGGTTGGACACGTAAAATGAGAGCAAATATTTATATAACTAAACACAATGGAGCAGAAAGCTCACCTCAGTGCTTGATCCACCGTCATTCCTGAGAGGTTAAAATAACTTAGATACTCCTCCGCGACCATGCTACTAAAATCATTGCTACACAAGTCATGAAAAGACAAATGCATAAGAAAAGAGGTTTTTGGTTCTTATACTGGGGCTCCAAAAGTCAGACCTTTCAAACAAAGCTCACGTGGTAAATTTCTTCATTTTTCAAAATCCTAAACACATTTTTTCTCACTGTGTATTTTTCTCACAAATACGTCCTCACTGTGTATATACGTCTACACATTTGTCCTACAACGTGGTATTTATTGTAATCAAAGAACACTTTGTTTCACAAAAGCTCAAAATATAAAGCAAGAGGAAGGAACTAAAAATAAACTTATTTATTAATAATTAAAATAATTCTTACTTCTTGCTCAGATGACGTGCCACGTCTGACTTCTTAAATCCATCAAGATTGTACAAACGTTTGGCCAGCCGTTTCGCAGCTTGGAGGTCAGCTTTGTTGCCATTGGCCAGAGTTTCAGTGCTGCCAATAGCCAATCGCTCGGCTACCTCTGGATCAGACTCCGACACCGGCCGTGATGGCCTCTCTCTGGAACCAAAGAAAAATAATTGTGTGTGAAATGTATGGCATGTGAGACACTTATTTGAATCTGGTTGAAGCATTACACCAGGAAAAGTAAAAGAGGTAAAAGTTTTATTTGTAAAAAGGCAACCCGGATACGATGTGTGAATGTGTTTGGGCTTAAAATCAGCCACCATGCACAACAACACAATATAAGCATACTGAACTACATTTGAATACTGACTATTTGTCAAACCAGTCAAATCATGAGGTTAAATTTGTTTACTTACCATCTCTCATGTCTAAACCTGTTATTCTTAGCACTGGCAATGTGATGTAAATAGATTCTATCTGATGTACCCATACAAACTCTTTCCCAGCAGGTCAACTCAATCCACAATGTACAGAGAAACCAGCTTTTAATAACCGAAAAAAGGTACATCTAACAAAGTACTGTGAGCGCATGAACCTGCACCTTTGTCCTTTGTGCACCATTCAAATTCAAAAAAGCCTTATAACTTGTCAGACACATATACACACAAACATTCTTCAGCTGGTATTCAGATGTGAATAATAAGAGGATAGAAAGAAGAAAAATTTATATTAAAAGTGTCAAATATGTGTGAAACACATTTCATTTAGTCTTGAATCAAAGAACTAAAGTGTAAAACTCTGGCAAACTAATAACACAAAAGGTCTGATAAACCAAAGCACTACTCTACCTCAGTGACCCAACTCTGCCTTTAAGCCACCGCATTCCAAAGTTAGTTAGATGTACGAGCAGCAAAAAGTTCATGCCAGATGCAGATATCCCCTCTATCCTCTGTCTTTGGTTTGTTCCGAGGATCACCATTCCCAACCTCCTCCAACCGGATAGTTCACAAACAAGCCAGGGGAGGAGACTCGAAGAATGGGATGAGGGCAGACTGTTTATTCTTGAAACAATGTACAGATAGAATCATGGTAGAGAAAACCAGGAAGAAAAACAGAAAACTTTTCCGCCACAGGTTCTAGGATGTGTGACAAGCTTTTACAAAGATGCTCAGTGACTAGACACACCTTTGATAAATCTTGCTGTATACCAGACAACAGCTGATATATTTAGATATATTTATGTGTGCAAATAACAATAACATGACACACATATTATAACTTGTTTGGTGACAGCATGTGAGGGGAAAAAAATGCAACTTCTTAGTGCACATGTACACACCCACCGACTATAACCGGTGAGGTGAATACACAGACAAACAATCAGCTCACTGTGCTGAGGCTCTACAACATTCCAGTGCTTTAACAAAAGCGAACACACCTCTTTTTTAGAGACTGATGACAATATTTACATACCAAAGGAGGAAAAAGATCATGTAATTAAAATGTTTGCATGACGTGACAGCTTCTGGCAGTAGTATCACGTAAGAAGGATATGAAAATTCCATTCCATTGACAACAGGTTGCACTAGAATTTTTGTTTTAGCTTTACTGTTCATGAAAACAATAATTGAAAATTGACTGTAATAATAATAAAAAAGAATGCATTTTATTTAAAATGCGCGTATCTAAAACCCAAACAACCGCTTTCATGAATTTGACGTTTTTAAAGGAATTTTAGTAAGAACGTTTGTCTCGCAATCTCGGTATTGTAATCGTGGGCACTTCAAAATTACGAATTATTTTATTTTTTAGAACGCATTTTAAGAATACTTTTTCATCGAGCGGTAAAAATGTAGCCTACAACACTGTGTGCAGTGTGCGTGTGCTGGTGCTACGTCAAAGAGTCACGTGCACTCTGATGTAAACAACCCCAACGTGCATGAGACACGCTGAATAGTACAATGGCTGTGTTTAAGGATTTGGCACTTAATCTGGACTGAAAGACAGATGGACCCTGGATGGAGTATTGCTGTATTCTTATGGTATGGCAATGATGGCAATGATGACAATTGTTACTGTTCTTTCAAGCATTTAATTTAAAAAAGAAAGAAAAAAATGAAAGAGAGACAAGATGAAAATGCTCTTATTGTCACTCTCTGACAGTAGATGGCGCTTATGGAACAGCTAAACCTCCATACTACTGATACAAAGCAGCTTTCAGTTTCTGAACTGTATTTAAATGCGAAAAAAATGAAAGAGAGACAAGATGAAAATGCTCTTATTGTCACTCTCTGACAGTAGATGGCGCTTATGGAACAGCTAAACCTCCATACTACTGATACAACGCAGCTTTCAGTTTCTGAACTGTATTTAAATGCGTCAAACAGACATTTAGATATGTGTATTCACTATGGTGTTTATCACAACAAATACTTAAAGAATTAATAGGACATTTATTTTCAAACATAAACATTTTTACATTTTAATCTGGACTAAAACATGCCCTAGGCCTAGATATTGATTGGAATTTTTCTGATTATTTATTATTGTTTGGTAACACTTTACAACAAGTTTCCATTCATTAACATTACTTAATGTAGAAATTGCTCATTGTTAGTTCATGTTAGTTAAAGCTCCAGTCCGTAACTTTTTGGGTTAAAAATTATCCAAAATAAATTTGAGCAAGTACATAACCAGCCAGTGTTCAAAACTAACTGCTTGCCATAGCTCAATTTAAAACGGTAAGCTTGTAATAATGTTTTTAATTCCAGTGGTACTGGTGGATTCCCGCAGGAAATTCGAGCATGTCTTTGCGTCATTACGTCACACATCTGTACATGGGCAATTCCATGCAAAGGTCATCTTTACCATGAAAAAATAAAGTTTTAAACAAAAGAACAAAACCCTTTTTAAGTTGTCCATTTAGGTCTGTAATATACTGTATTAATGTGCTTTAACAAAAATTTTAAGAAAATTGCCTTGTTTATCCACCAGATATGAGGTGAGCAACAATGCTTAAATTACATTTTCAACCAGCCATTTTTCATGCTTTCAAAAAAAGGTATCAAAGACCCCCCTTTTTAAACTTTATTTTAACAGTAAGCATTTTGCAGAAAGATGGAGGCATGCCTGAGAAAAAAAAATATACTAATTTGGTCATAACAGCACTGCCTGTTGAATTTATAAGGGCTATAATAAAGAGGTCTTGACGCTTCAGTGCACTGTCACGTCCATAACGTTTTAAAGGTTTAGTTTATTTAATATGACAATTATAAATGCAAATAACTTGAAACTTTATTTACAAAGCTAAATTATGTTTATGCTTATTAGGATAGACAATTCATCTCACTACTTTGCTCTGAACAACCATAATAATGCGTTACGGACGTGACCGTTACGGACGCTTCATATTAAATCATGCATATGACTATTGTGATCTGTTTCAAGACAGAAATGATTTTGGCCACTTCATTTCAAGTTTTGTTTTGTAGAAAGACTTTATTTAAAGTGAATTTCTTTGTATAAATTGTATCTTAATTTTAAATCAAAGTTTCATCAACCAATTGCCTGGATTTAATAAATAAGCAAATATAGCATGGAGGTGCGATCACTTGCAACACGTAAACTTGAGCGCGTCTCATAACTGAACAGAATCATTTCAGACAGTCTTCTTAATGTGAAAACACAGCCATTATGCGTCAACAAAAGTGCCATGATGGTTTGATTGTTGATTTTCCAAACAGATTCTATGTATTTCAGACGCGTCACATCCATAACGTTGGTTTTTCCTCATAATACACTTCATAAAAATATATATATTTTAAACACTGATATTTTTATGTTCAGCTAAGACCCCTTCATCATGTGGATAGCAATATTTATACATTGGATTTAAAAGTTCACAGACTTTAAAGGAAATCGAACAGTATACCAAAAACTCTGTCATTTCCCGTCACATCCATAACGCATGCATATTTTCCTTTTTTGGGGGTCCTTAAATATATTTTAGAAAAACATATTTTGCCTGTCAATTCCCCAGATTGGGTGCTCTGAGAATATGCATTTCCAATTTAAATATTGTAAGAAGTTATTTTTTCCTGAGACATTTCACCTGTCATTATGAGTTCAAATGTCACATCCATAACGCTGGAATTACCCACATATAAAGGAGTCTCGGCTAGTAGGCTGTATTGCGTGTGAGGATGTTGGAGGTGTAGATTTATAGCCTTTTCTCACAGCACTTGATATAATTAAACTTCTTAATTTGGTGGCGGATCCAGAAAGGTTAAAATGACAATCACCAGTGACAACTGGAGATTCACCCGATGTAAAATGCAAAAGACTGACATTGTGTTCATCCGCGCTGTGCCGTGTCGAGGTACAACTCACGTAAAGTTTATAACTCCGCGAATAACTGCAATTGCAGATTTCGAACAAAGATGGCGAAAGAGGAAAATCTGCGGACTGCAGCTTTAATGCAACGTTAACTGAATGGGGCCTCACCTAAAATGTTACCCATTGTTCTCTATAGTTCTTTTGCACTTTAATCTGTTTAAAGCATTTGTTTACTTAATATTTTTTTGTGTATTGTTTTATTATATTTAAATGTTTAAATGTTTGTTTTATTATAAGAAAAAAAGTTATTAAACCTGTTAGGAGGACAACACTTTTTAGGTAACTTAATTCAATACCACGATAATACGATATACCGTGATAAAAGCTTCAGCAATAATCATTATATGAAAATGTGGTAACGTCACATGCCTAATAGTGAAAGTACTTATGTTTTGTCAATGTGGTCAGTCATCCAAACGAAACAAACTTGACTATAACTGTGGTTACCCTCTCAACCGAACGCGATTTCTGGCAGCGAGCGTCTATTTACCGTCAGGTGAATATGTGCCATAATTAACTTGTAATCTAACTTTTTTAGTTTAATGAAATATTTTAAACCCCTCGAATAAAAAAACACATACTTCATGTACAATTCTTTTAATAAGACCCCCTGAACCTTTTATTTTGACAACAAACTTTATTTAGGAGTCAGACTGCCCAAACCCCCACTTAATTCGGACCCTGGCTAAAATTGAGTTACATATTGAGATCATAATGGTCCTCATAAAAACCCTCGAACGGCAATGGTCCTCAGTAATAACTATCTATCAGAAAGGGTGAATGAGAGCACTGATCTTTTACTGTGATAAACTGTGAGTTGCCTTAGGTATTCACCACAAACTACTCAGAAAGTAAAATTAGCTACCTGGAAGTCACTAGCCTAAATGTACATGCTATAATCAAAGTACTGAGACAATGTACGTGAAAATGAGGAAAATAACTCCTTAACTACTTGACAGCCCTGAGATATGTGTGTGTGTGTGTGTGTGTGTGTGTGTGTGTGTGTGTGTGTGTGTGTGTGTGTGTGTGTGTGTGTGTGTGTATGCGCGTGCGTGCGTGTGTGTGTGTGTGTGTGTGTGTGTGTGTGTGTGTGTGTGTGTGTATATGTGTGTGTGACAAAAAAAACCTTGTTATAGACCAGGGTAATTATAACTACAACTAAAACCATAAAAACATTTTCGCTACTTGAAATATAATAAACGTTAACTGAAATAAAAAAAAAAAAGTAAAACCTTTTATTTTATTCCAGCTAATTACCAAGACATTGTAACGAAGTACTAAAATAGTCAAGACTGATATAAAAATTAATCAAAAATATAGACATGTTAAAATAAACTAAATTACTAAAAACATTAACGTTAAACAGAAATTCAAAAAATAACAACTACATAAATAAAAACAACTGTAATAATATCTCTATGATACTAAAATAATACTGATAAAGAGCAGAATTTTTTCTACTCACCGGTATATGGCAGGGTGGGGGGCATATATGTAATTATCCTCCAAGGCCCCACCCCCCCAGCAGAGCACATAATGAGCCATCACACGAGGCCTGCCCCTTCACACCTCACATAGCCAGATGACATAAGCTTGCTTATAAACGCAGCATCCAGCCTTCCACATTTTTCTACCCTTCCCTAAACCTCCTGCTGTCCAGAAGCCTGAGGAGGCTTTAGAAGAAATGTGTCTCTCTGCGTGTGCAAGTATCTTGAACTGTAATTAAAGTCTTTCAGTTGCCGCGTTGCTGATTCTTTTATTCTGCTCCAAACTTTTATAAGCGCTTTTCGTGAGTCAAAGGCTTGATACAACTGTCTTATTTTCTCTCATTCTTTCTCTCCCAACACGCTGTTCCCTCCCGCTTGCCTGGTTGCGTGTGTTTGTGGATGTGTGTTTCTCTACTCTTGTCAGCTGAGCTATTTTTCGCTGGTGGATATGGTCTGTGTTTCCTTTCACAACGGTTTACTCCCTCTTTTCCCCTTTCTCCAACCCTCTCTTCCTCTCTTTGTCTTGCCTTGTTACTTTGTGCCGCCATTAGTCTTTGTCGATCTCCATCTCAACATGGTGCTGAACACATTGTCTGTCTCATTAAAAAAGATACATTTATATCCAATCTATGAGAAAGTATAAAGGTCAGAATTATGTGTTAGAAATAACGGTTTGCGTTTCTTTAGTATGAATGGCTGTTTAAATTAAATATTGGGCAGAGGTGAAAAATACAGCCCTGGTGAAACGGTAATAGATTTTTATTCTCTCTATTTAAAACCCTGAAATCACAAGACAAGTTAATCTGCTCTCACCATGGAGACCGAGTGTGCCTGGCAAATATCCAAGTCTATCTGGCCCCATGGCAGGGGAAGGAATGTAGTGGATGAGCCAGGTATCAAAGCAGATAGTGTCGGCTTTCAGGCCCTCTTAATAACCACACTAAACTCAGATCAAACAATATTCCTTATTGTAGGGGACTTGAAAAACTTATGCCACATTAAAATACCCTTCTGATTGTGTTTATCTTCCTCCCACCTAAATTTTGCACATAGAACAAGAAACAAGGTTTTGAATTTTTTTTAAACAAGAAATACTGTTTTGCCTGTGTGAACTCAGAGCTGTGATCTGATTTATTTTGACAACAGACAGGAAGGAGTAGAAAGGGATTATAGACCTAAAAACAAATCTGACCCTGAGATTGTGGGTCAGTCACAGCCCCGGAAGGATCTTATGCAGCCATTGCCAAGGAGAACCTGTTTAGTAGGAACTTTCTCCTTATATTACTGCTTGCTGCTATACAACTGATCAGAAACAATTTCTCTGAAGATGATTTGAAGCAAGCCCTGCATTTTAACAGACAGGAAAGAGCACAATCCCGAATAAAACAGTTCACACTACATTCATCAAGGGCATAAGTGAGAGAAATGTATCTGAAGCTCTTGCCTAAACAAATTATCAAGAAAAGCAACTGAGCTGATAACTCAGTGCAGTTTATTTAACACAATCACATAGCTCGGCTCTGCCATCTAGAGGTAAATACTCAACTGTAGATTCCTTTTGTAAACTTATCCTAAACTAGAAAGCCCATTAAAGTCATCATGAAATCAAAATGGAAATCTTTTTTTTTTTATGGAATATTGCACTATTATAAACAATACATCCATGCACATAATTTTTTTTATATTCATGTGCCCTCATAACATTGAATCAAATTAACAACATCTCTTCTCTGATGACATGACATTAGGGTGGGACAACCTGTCTGTCACTCACATGAGATCACAGCAATAGCAAACCACAATTACCCAATCAATTCCCAATGGACACAATCAACTCCCACCCCAGAGAAACCGTTTCACCCGGATATACGTCACAATGGGGAAGAAAAGACTATCGCAACTTTTTTTTCATGCCAACTTTCATGCCATTTCAACTGGTTACCAAAATTCTATAGTACGAATTAACAAATTACACAAGCCGCTTTTCCAAACAATTCAACCATATCCGTACTGACTGGGCCAGATCGACACGGAATGGAACGGTTAAGCAAAGAGAATGTTTTGGCCCTACAGTGGAAAAGTGGCTATAGTTGTAAGAACCATCTGTCCTCAAAACAACTATGGCTTGACACTATACTACTATACTGAGGACAGGAATGAGTTTGTCTTTATGAGTGTGTCTGCACTGCCAGCTGTTTCTCTTCTAATGTGTATAATTACTATTATACTTGCAAGAGTTTATTTCACCGGGGAAGGGCGGTGTTTACATAACAGTAACATATCTGTTGACATGCAGTGATGGGATATTTATGACAACTCATTAGAAAAAATGAAAATCACAGACTGCAACTAACCTTATGGCAGCGTCTGTGTCAGAATCAGGACTGGGGACTTGACCAGAACAGGATCCACTGGAGAACGGACTCTCTTCTTCATAGACACCGCTCTCTATGGGATCAGGCGGTTCGGGGCACGTAAGAGGAGCAAAGCTCAGTTCGATGATCTGCTTGGCACTTTCGCAGATCTGACTCTGGATCTCAGGAGTGAGAGTCGGAAAATCAAAAGTGAAGACTGGTGGGCCACTAGGAGTAATGTCTTCACTATCCAGGCTGCTATAAGAGGTGCCCTTGGCACGGTGTGACTCCATAATGCTCTCAAAGTGTCTGCTGAAAGAGTCCAAGCCATCTGATGAGATTCGGCACGGGCTGGTCACAGAGATGGGAGACTTCAAAGCAGTGTGGCTGTCAGGCTGGCAATCTAGGGGACTATAAGAGGAACATAAATCATAGATGCACTCCTTTGAGTGGTTTGTTTGCATCATTTAAAATGAATTTAAAATGTTTGATGCCACAGTACTGCACATATGATGACACCCTTCCTAAAATTTACATTGCAATTATACATTTTCACATATGAAGACCCAGTTAATTGTGAGAAGAAGAATAATGTAAAATATTATCTAAAAAAATAGTTAGTTTGTATCTATATTTATTTGTTTATTTATTTATAAGACTTTAGAAATCGGAATGAAAGTTATAATGTAAATGTAAACTTATTTTATATTATTAATGTATTTATTTATGTATACAATTTTTATTCTATTTTTCCTCAAAACTTTTCCTCAGACACCCTAGCACTCCATTACAGCCCCCCTGGACATCCCTTCTTGTTCTAATTTACCCCAAAGTCTTCAAAAAGTAACCAAACAACATAAAGCAGGCAGGAATGCAAAATTCTAGCCATTTTGTTGTTCTTTTGGTCAAATGAAAGTCCTCTGTTCAGCATCACATCACATCAGCATCCAGTGTGGATTGTTGATGTGTGTGTGAATTTACATATGCATAGGTGCTATAGCATCTATTCCACACTCACCCTCTCAGTAGTCGACTAAACACTTCATCTCCCTCAGGTGTGGCATTTTGCCTCTTTTTGTCGCCTTGCATCCTCACACTGGCCCAGCTCACCACCTCTTCATCTTGCAGCTCCTCCTCACCATCTGTGTATGGGCACAGCATTCCCTCCAGGGGGCTGCTGCTGTTAGTGCCTGAGGTACCCAGCACACTGCGGTTACTGCCAAAAGCAGAGTCCACTTCCTCCTGTTCTGCTAGCATCACCTCATCAAGGTCTGTTTCCCTGTAACAGCGCTGGGACACCGCATCTATGTCTGTCTCTGAATATTTGACAGTGCGTCTGATGATGCCAGTCATATTGGAGGACCCCACTGTGGGATGATGGTGGATTAACTCCACTTTGACTTGCTGTACATCATGGCATGAGGATTTCGAAGAGGCGGTTGATTTACAGTGTCTTAAATATGATGTTACAGGCCTTAGCGGGGTAGACAAAGGTGGAATGGGTGTCGGAGACTCGCTGGAACAGCCACTGGAGGGTGCAGTGGAGGAGCCTGGAATTTGTGTGAACAACGAAATACAAAAAGATTGAGAGTGTCATGGTTTAAATTTTAAATAACACAAGTGTAGTCATTACTCATTTTTTATATACTATTTATATATAAAAAATGATAAATCAAAACAAAGTCTCTGAACAGACAAAATGCATAAATTATACAGTTATATTTAGAATTTCTAATTTACAGTTTCAGTAAATAGTAAATGGTTTTAGACACATTTTTTAAATATTACAAAAAAGGACATTATTAAATAATAATTGTATGTCCTTAGATCCTGTAGCTCAACTGGCAGTATGGCCATATCAATGCCATGGTCATGGGTTCGATTCCCAGAAAATGTGTAGATCGATCAAAAGTATGGCTTGAAGTTGTTTTGGATAAAAGTATCTGCAAACTGTATAAATGTCAAGGTGAAAGGAAAAACTACAGAATAATTCAAGTCACTCATTCTCCCTTACCTCTCTGTTTGACATCAGTAAATTGAAAACACCTACACACAGTAAATAATTCATTCAATTCATTAAACCTAAAAAAATCTATCTGAAGGCCATTGGAATGATAGATTAACACATTGCTTTTCAAGAAAAGGAAACAACATAAAACCACAGAATAAAAAATCTAGCAAAGCTGTAACATTAATCCATTTAAAGATCATGATAGTAAAGAGAAAGTATAACACCTTGAGAAGCGATAAGGGGTAAAAAAAAAAAAATACAAAAAGTTTATAGAGAAAGCAAATCCTAATGTCATTCTATGGAGCATGAGGCTTGTTATATGATTGGATTAAGCATTTGTTGAGGCAAACAGCTTGTTCACAAGAAAAGGCAAAATAAAGAAAGAAAGGTGACATTTCAGAGAACTGGTTCCTGGAAGTCTGAGTTGGACATTTCTAAGAAATTCTCACCTTTTGTTTCATGTTGGTCTTCGGAGTGGGACCCAAACAGGAACTCCCATTTGGCACGAGCCATCTTCTGAGAGTGCAAGGAAGGTCTCAGCAAAAATGGTCCATTTTCAGACTACAACCCAAAACCGAATTATCAAATAACAGTATACAGTGAATCAGAGCATTCGAATAATCTAAAGATGTGTACCAAGATGGAATCACCTGTATGCCTGTTTTTCCAGAGTCAGAACTCTTCTGGCTGGTTCTGCTAGATGTCTCCGAGGATATGCAGTCTTTCTCATGTAGAGTACTATCTATAAGGCTGCCTGTGACTCCACTGGAGCTCTGTGATGCTGTACCACTCAACTCTTTGTTAGCCCGAGTGTCACCTTTCATCTCATTGCGCTGCATTAAGACCCTACAATGGTTCTCTTGAGAGCCCGGTGCAGCTGGACTATTCCTCTTATGATTGTTCACCTCCTTCAAGCTTTCCTTGTCTCTGGCTAAGCACTCTTCTATTCCATTCTTCTGGTGAAAGGTCCAACTTGCTGGAGTCTCTGGATTAGCCCTTGTGAATGGTCTCCTGCTGCTATCTGGACTGTCTTTGTGACTTTTGAGACTCTCATACTGCCAACATTCATTGTTAGGTGTATGATTGTTTCTTGTGTACTGGGAAGGCAGGTGCCGGTGCAAAGTCGGGCTGTCCTTTCCCTCCAACTCTGTTCTCTCTATCCGTGGGTCTCGTATGGGAGAGGATGATATTACATCTGATCGTTTCAACCTTGCTGGAGCTGCAGGAGATGTACTTCCAATGTGGGGCAAAAGAGGGGTTGTTTGAACTGAGTGGTGACCAGTCTCGACAGACTCGTGTTTCCAATGGTGGTCCTGAACAGAAAGTTTGCAATTAGAGTGGGTTTTTGATGCTGAGCCTTGGAAGCTGGCATATAGTTGAGGCTCTCTTGAATGCCCCAAACGGGGACTGTCAGACCTCACTGTGTCTGTCGACGATTGGGTTGGGGATGGAGACCTCCTGGCTTCCATAAGTATGGAGAGTTTGATGGCTTCCTCCGCTAGTTTACAAGCCAAGTCAGGACTTGAGGCTGGGGTTACGCTCCTCCTTCCACTCAGTAGGTTAGCTTCTTCTTCTACCTTATTTTTGGAGTTGGCCAAGTTGAAATTAACTCTGTGGGCTTGCCGTGGACTATCATTCATGGAATGACTGATTCGTTGATTGCTAGATGGTTGAGTTACAACCATAGATGGCAGTTCATGTTGAATAGCTGTAGGCTTACAGGATGGTAAATTTGGCCTATACCTATACCCTTGTGCTCTTTGGTTTGAGACCTCCTGAGTGTTGACGGTTGAGTGTGACATGGTAAAGTAGGCTTGCTTGGCATGGTTAGACAGTTGGTCAGTAGCAGGGCTCCTAGGAAGTCTATAAAACGAACTATTCCGCTCATGATCCATGATTGTTGCTTTAGTGGGCAGGGTCCTAGAACTGCATGGTATAACCGGTGACCCAGACCAAGACTGACAGCGACGTTGTCCTCTCCTGACATTGTGACCTCTATCAGGGCAGTTGCCTGCCCGTTTTTGCATTAGTTGTGGGGAACCAAATTCCTCCAATGCCCGATGGGTGGCTTCTCTGGCAATAGAGTCTAGAGTTGCCCGCCTAAAGCTGGGGGGGCTCATATGTGAGTTCCCCAAACCTTGACTAAGCTGTTTTGAGCTGCAGTTGTTTATGGACTCCAAGCTGTTCTCCAACCACACTGGGTCACTAAGCCTTTTCCTGAGGTGGAGAGGGGTAGCTCGATTCTCCATAGTTCTGTTGAAGGGATTCTGAGGCTCGCTTTGGCACAAAGAGCTATACTGACCCTCTACAGATTTAATTTTAGCTTTTTCAATGTAACTGAAAGTGGCAAAAGATCGCCTCCCTTCATCTCCTCCCTTCATCTTAGTTGGGCTGCATGCCTTACGAGTTCCACTGGGAGTAGGAGGGGCAGTAAACCATCCTGAGAAGTGAGGGTCCTTTCCAAAGAAGGGGTCACGTTCAGAAGGACCACATACCAAGTGACATGTATTTCCAGTGGGTCCTGTTTGAAAAGCAGAGAGTAACTGGCTTATCTCATCATAAGGTAGACTCTTTTGGTGTTGGGAAGCCGGTTGTTCCGAGTCATGTCCTGGATGTAGCTGAAAACTTACAGAGTGTCTAGATGTTGATTTACTGGAGGCTAGGCTCTGAGTGCTGCTTCCACCTTTATGCAGGACTCCACGTGGAGATGCCCGGTCATGTGGGGCATTAGGGCCACCATACTGAGACTGTTGAAGGATGTCTGGTGCTGTCAACATGAGGGAGTCTGTTTTCTCCACATCTCCTAGGTCTTTTCCCTCTTCATCAGTAACAGACCTCACCTCTACATAGAGGTGGAGGATTTTACCTGATTGAGACATGACTGACCAAAAGCAGGTTGCAGATAGCACAACACCTGTTCTCTATAATCGATTAATCAACACTGGTCATCTTGTTTGCTCTGGAAGTTTGTTGGTGTTCACATCTGAGAGAGAGTTTGGATGGACTCCAATATCATCCTCAAAATCACCTGTAAGAAACAAAAAAGAAGAGAATTTACTAACATCTGTTGAAACAAATTCCTCCATCAGTTAGGAAGAAAATACACCCATTTTCTTTTAAATAATACCAATAATGTTTTACACATTAAATGAATAATAATTTGATCATTTTTGTTTTACAACTTATGTTATACAGTGTTTCTATAGAGCATGACATTTATACATTGACCCACATATTATCTCTAGGCTACAGTATTTTGAACACTCATTTGAAGTGAGTGACATCTATTAAAAAGGAAAATAATAGTGAATACTTTTCTCTAAAGCAAATATCTTGAGTAAAGAGACTTGTGAACTAACCACCTTGACTCCTCTTGCTATACTGTACTCCTCTAAATCAAGCTGAGCATGTTTACTAAGGGCAAGAGGGTCTAAATGTGTAACATGCTAATTAAAGAATGTAAAGCAAACTCCAGATACGCAAGCACCTCAGTATTGCTACTGGTAGGTTCTCTGCCTCACTCCCTCTTCATATTACATACATAGTTGTGACTAAATTTTACTGTAGCTCTCTCAGAAGTATAGTAATGTATAATATGATTACCTACTTGTCTTGAAGGAATTAATGAATGAATCCTTAGATGTAATAAGATGATAGACAAGACATACTACTCACACTGAAAAAAGCAATACAACTAGCATGCTCTGGTGTCTCTGACCAAAGAACCCATGCTGGTTAGGCTAGCTGGTAGCTAGGCTAGCTAGCTGCATCCAAAACATAACATATCCTGGTGACCATACAGAACTATATAGATTTTTCTCCTGTAATGGATTCAGAAAAGTCTTAACATCTGAATTAGACTGCAATCACCTTTACAAAACCATGAAGTCAGTTCCCGTTAAATGAAATACAGTAAACCTACTGCATACAGCTCAGAGAAGAGATGAGGCTGATCATTAAAAACTACCCTAAAGGACTCACTCTCTTTGATGCACATAAGCTATTCTAACCTCTCACATGCAATCTGCCACAGCTGCTTGTGTTCTGTCAGCTCTTGTGAAAGTGGGGAAGTGTGGCTGCGATTGGACGTGTGCCAGGTGTTGCGCTCAATTGATTGAGTCATATGCACCCTGCATCATGACCACCACTGCAGTTATGGGGGAGGAGGCAGGGAAGGATAGTGCATAGTTTTCCTTAAAGACAACACACGTGCTCAAAAAATGTATGGGAGCTCTTTAACAGCAGATTTTCCCATTCAAAGCCATATTTACTGTAGTCTTCCTGCAGTCCTTTAGCTGAAATTTGTTGAATGTATGCTGCTTGCCTAGTAACTTAATCCGTTTTACATGTTCCAAGGTAACCTGTAACAACTTGAAATTGATCTCCCTTTAATTAACTCTTTGGATCAAATTCCTTGACTGAAAGAACATGCCACGTTCATGACTGTCAGATGTTTGTGATAAATTAGCTAGAATTAACTAGAAATATTAAATTGAATTTGTTCTCTTAAATATTTATGTGATTTACATGTATGATGTACAAAGTTGAGGATCATTTATAAAAGCATCTATGAAATTGTATTCATCATAATTTACTTTTATTATACACTACCGTTCACATTAGCTAGAATTGACTAGAAATATTTGTAGCAAGAATATGATTTTATTTATAGTACAAAAAAATTATTTTAAAGTAAAAAAAAAATGTTTCTTTCTATTTTCATGACAGGTAATTTGCATCAGTTCTGCTTCTGAAAATATGGCAAAATTCATTGAGATTAAACCAACAATTGTATTTCAATTATGAAAAAAAATAAACACTTCACATCTTTAAAAGTCCCAACGATTACAAAGAATTAGGTTAAAACTATAATAATAAAAACAAATTTTCCATGTCCATTAACTATTTTGACTTTCTCAGCAATTGAAATCATTGGTGTACTATTTTATTTCTATAATCACTGAAAATGACAAAATTAGCTGAAGGAAAGTTATTCAAATGCATATATTTATCTACTATCTATATCTACTTTCTGTTATGCAGGCCATTTAGTATACTTTTTCTGTGCTGTAGCTAATAGGATTCCTCCAACCCCTCCTCCTGTCCTCACTCCTGTATCTGTTACATGAACAGGAACATAGAAACCAATTACAGTCAAACCCCTCCCTTTACCTGTTAACTCCCCTCTCAACAGCTCCGTCCCATCCGCTACACAGCAGCAGTGGGAAGGAACCCAGAAAAATCCCTCCTTTAGAGTCTTCAGAAAAACTGGCTATTCATGCGTTTGTAGTCTCTGTGCCTCCCTCTCTTCTCCACAGAACACAAAACAGCTCTCTGCGCCTTACTGGCTCACGCATACTGGACTTAAGCCACCCACACGACTTAGTGCGTCTTCTCCAACCCCCCCCCCCCCCCCCCCCCCCACTGAAAACCTGTCTTAGCCCAACAGGACTTCCTGCACTCACCCTGTCACTCACATTCTTAAGACCACCTCATTCTAGAACTGAGCCAATCAGGTGCGCCAGCTCTCTGTCTGTTCTGTGACAGGTGGCAAAAGGTTCAGCTCACCCGCAGAGGGGGGCCTAGCCAGAGGGAAAGCCCCTTGTAAATAGATTTACACAGTAACAGGGGTTGAGAAAAGGCCGCTGGGATTACATCTGAACAGAAACAATCCTGAGTCTCAGCAGACTATCACAGTGTAAAAAATACTGTGTGTGAATTTAAAGTATATCATAGCTGTTGCTGTTCATTCACTGTCATTTTCACAATATTCTAAGACAATTATACTGTAAAGTGAAAAAGAAATGACTGTCATGTGGCAGAATCATAATGATTAGCTGTGCTTGCATTAGCGTAAACTCTTAGCTACTTACAGATAATCTGTAATTGTGTCAACAGCACTATGTGCTTCTGTTCCCAGCATGCATTCTCGCACATTTGTTATTTAACTTTTTCATTTTTATTGTTACTACATGTATTTGCTGGCTTATTTTGCTGCTGTTTGTGATTTTGCTAAATGTAAGAAAAAGAATAATCCCAAATCCAATAGTTAAAGGAATAGTTGAACATTGAGACATTATTTACTCCCTCATGTCATTCCAAAACTGTATGACCTTTTTCTATATTGAAACAAAATAACGTATTCTGTGAAATGTTTCTGTTTTTATTTTTGTCCCAAGATTGGAAGTCAATTTGCTCAAATGTCGTTTGGTTCCCAATGTTGTTCCACAGAAGAAAGTTGAATCTAGGCTTGTTAAAGTGTTAAACCTTTTAATTAACCTTGTTGAGCACTGCATTATGCCTTGCTTTTTTTGAGTCACTCAAATATTTCATGCATTCAGCACAGTATATGGGCTAACAGCACTACGCTTGCTGCCTCAAGAGAACTGTGTTACATAAATCAGCAAAACTTCAGGAGTCAAAGCCATGGTTCACTCTCTCCCTATAACTTCCTGTCCCCCTTCACTATATATAATATAATATAGTATAGTAGTTAACATGTGACAGCAGTATCCTGCATTGTGACATGCAATAATTCATCTAAAATAATTTAATCTTTTTAATTTTAAAACATGTTAAAATATTGTGTAATTAACATACCGGTACTCAATGTTTTATGACCTCATACTAATTTTGGCTGTATGGATTATTTGTATGCTAAAATTCTAAACTACTATAAGTAAATAAAAAATATTTGCAATCACATATACAAAGACTGGGTTTCATAAGTCTGAGACCACTAGTAAAAATGCATATTTTATGCATTTTTATAATTTATTACAAAAAAATAAGTACAAATGATATTATTAGCACAACAATTTTGAGAAACTTTGTTATTTAAACTTTGTTTATTAGCAGGATTAAATTAGACTTATTTCAATGAGGACTTTTGGTTCCCAGAACTTCCCACTGCACTGTATATACAATTTTTAAGATTTTCATGTTGAAACAACAACAACAACAACAAAAACAACAACAACAACTGATCTCCATATTATTTGTAAACTGTCCATTGCTTTAAGAGCAAAAGTTTTAGGCATAAGACATAAGTGTGCTATAAAAATGTTGTATAACTCGACTGACCTCGAAGGTTTGGGCACTGGGTAGAGCTGTCCTGCATTACCTACTATGTTATTTGAGAGCTTTGGAAAGAACACTTTACTCAGACTGACTGCTCTTAGACTTTAGCTTCTAAGGTGACTGATAACTACAATGGATGTCTAGGGTATACACCAGGTCTATGATAAAAAATTAAAGCACATGAGTTCAAATATAGATTTATAATATAAATACATGGATTTTCTGCAAAAAAAACAGGAAAGTGTTGGTAGTCTAGAATTAATCCGATAACAACACCATTTGAAGGCCGCCTGCTATACTTTGTTCTTTATTTATAAGAAACAAAAATAGAGGGACAAGCAACTTCACATACCTGATGGGAGTATGAAGAGTTGCAGATGTGGCAGATATTTGATGCTTCATCATTTCATTGTGCATGTGAGGTGCTGAAGTGGACAGCTCCGCTGTAATTAGAAAAACTCCTACAGCAGACAAAGAAGTCAGTATACTGTACTTGTTCCCGTGTCTTTAGGGAGTGCCCGCATCACATTATCAGAGCACTGGCAGGAGGCCCATTTCAGCTTAAGGTGGACTACAACTTTGTCAAGAAGAGTTTTCTATCATCTAAATCAGGTTTTATAGACATATCTACGACCATAAGCACAGTCATGCACAAAACTAATCTATAATCTATAGTTATATCTCTATATATCTTGTTAGTCCTTGCAGTTACTTTGACAATTTTAACTAACATTTTTATTTTGAATTAAGCAGGCGCCTAGGTAAAGGGATAATACAATCTGTCAATATGTCATACAAAAATTCTGTCATCATTTACTCACCCTCGTATTATACAACAAGAGTAAATGAGGTGCAAAACAGGATTGGACCCCACTGACTTTCACTGTATGGACAGAAAACCCAAAAGGATGACAGAAGTGTTGTTGTTAGTAAACTAACTCTTAAACTAACTTTTAAATAAAAATACAAAGTGGTTTATTAGATATAATTTGCATGTTGTCAAAAATGTTCTTCTTTCTCACACTTCTTTTCAGGTTTAAATCACCCAGAAGGTTAATCATAGTTATCCATCGTTGCCGAAATGACAAAAAAGAACCAAAGAGAATGTGAGATATTTACTGTGATAACTACACCAAACCCAACTATATTAAATAGACAGATACAATATAATAATCCATGTATTATTTATGTAAAGGAAATGGATGGAGGATTTTGTGAGGTGCTTTACGAATTATTTTTGTTTCTTAGGTGGACAATGGAAAGAGGCTGACTGTTTTGGCCATTTATGTCAATACAAGGATTAAAAATGGGACAAACTGGGCCAGAAAACTCAACGCGGAATGAGTGGAGCAAAGTTAGCGTATCTCCATCATAGAAAGACACGGCTCCTTTCGGGATATCTACCCATAATCCAAGTTTTTGGATTGTTTTCCTCACTGCCAGGAACTTTTCATTTGAGTCCTGACAAACAAGATATTTTCCATTACCATGATAGATGTAGCAGAACACACTGTTAAAGTCACTGTTGCGATGCTCAGAATCCTGATCTCTAGTAGCTGACCCATATGACAGGCCAATCAACCAATAGGGTTTCTTCCAGACGGCCACCTCCCAGTAGTGGGAGCCACTGGAGAATCTCTCCTTGATCTGGACGCTGTACTGAGAGCTGATGTTTGTTTTCCGTTTCCTTTCTGCGGTTGGTTTCTTACTCCAGTGTACCTCCAGCTTGTCTGCCGAGACCTCTAACTCGGGGTGTGCTGTCTCTGGGTCTAAATTTACTGCTCTGAGACCTGCAGGTGGCAAAGATTGATAGGTTACACTATAAGGTAGGATTATTGTACTTTTTATTTAAGTCTAAGTGTGTCTTTTAACATTGTGCATTGAAACATCACACTTACTAGACCACAGCCGCTGAGTGTTCTGCAAGACAACTTCATCTAAGTTATCAACCAGCTGTTCGACTGTCTTCATCTTATCTGTGGTGCTGTACTCTTGCTCTATCACAGACACAAGTGGCAATTCCACCTGGGACCTAAAGCGATGATGAAGAATTATTTAAAAAATTCATTTTGGTATTAATGTATCATGGCATAGTGGGGGAAAGCAATCATTTTGCGAGCAGACGCAAAGTTTCTCGAAGGAATGCAAAACATTTGCGACAGAATGCAAAAGCATTGACATTATTTTTCCGCCCACCTCATAATTTTTTTCATCACCATGTCCCTTTAGGGGCTCCATAAGTACAATTTAAAGGGAATGCAGTAAAAAGAACTCACCCAAGTCTATGTTTTTTGAGATGCTGCAATAAATAGTTTTCTGTTATTGATAGACTACAGATATAAAAAAGAAAAAGAAAATGTGCACTCAAGTATAATTCACACAGACTGTGAAACTATAATATGCACCTGGAGAAATATGATGTCATTTTCTTCCTCGAGGAGAGATTGGCCTGATCTTAGGGCAGCATTAATATCTTTAACATGACACTCCAGTGACTCATTTTTCCATCTCAGCCACTTGTTGGAGTAAAATTCTTCTGTTTCCAGAATGGCCAGCATCAGCTTCTGATCCTCCTCAATCTGGGCTTTTATCTGGTTGTATTTCTCAACTATTCTGAGTCTGTATGCTTCTGCGTTTTTCTTGAAAACCATAACAAGATTGAGAATAAAACAAGTAAAAGCCTGGTGAACTCATAGGTTGACAAAGGAAACATATTAGATTATCTCTTGCTACAATGGATTTGAATAGTTTTGCCATTCATTAAAAAAGTTTTATTTCAAATCAATATTACCTGTGAAGTGCAGTATACAATAATTTTCTTGGTTTAATTGGTTACTATGATTCAGAAAGCTCATATTGGAATACCCACCGACACCTCTGAAAATAATGGTTTCAAATCTTGCATAGCAGACTCAGTTAAATGTTTCCTCTGTAGAAGAAGTGATTTGTTGGTCTCCAGCACCTTCTAAAAGAACAAAGAGATATGTTTCCGTAAGTTCTCAATACACTGTTACTTCACACTAAATTATAGGTATAATAATGGTCCATGAAAATGTGTTATTTATCTGAGAAAAATATATTTGCTCTTAATTTGTTATAAAAAAAACCCCATTAAAATACACTTCATACAAAAATTACCCGAATACACCTCTTCTATGAAGAGCATGTCATTTTATTTCTGTACTAAATTATATATATATATTTATAATATACATAGTTTTTATAATAGTTGTATAAAAAATATATATGTATAGGCTAAGTTTTTACTTTTTAACAACATGTACATTTTTAAGAACTTGGCACGTGTTTAA